ATTGTACTGGTTAAGGGAGAATAACTGGTAATTTGAAGGATTTGTTTTATCTAATCCTTCCGCTGGTGCATTTAAGGTCTAGGCACACATTATAAGCTCCAGTTTCTGTAGTAAGGAAAATAGGGAAAGAGGAGAAAATTGAATGTCAGCACAGAATTTCAAGGTCTTTTTTAAAAAGTGTTTTAAATTAATTTCTCTATGTTAATTTCTTTTTCCTATATTAAAAATACCTTCTGTCTTTTCTAATCCAGTCTTGCTAACAAAAAAAGTGGGGGACTGGGACTGGAGGTATAACTGCAAGGACATCCACAGGAATGATCAAGAAAGTCAAAATAGTGGCCTTATTTGTGGCACTCATTTTTTCTATGTGTTGCATTGTACATAAACAGGCAGAGCTTTGACTATACTTCCATGGCTGCCATCATTTATTTTTAGTATATTTTATGGACAATTTGAATAATTACTATTGCTGGACGTGGGTCAGTTTTACATTTTGCTGCAGTCTCCTGACATTAGAAGCTGATCAAGGTATGCCTGGCTACAAAATCAACAGTAATCAGGTGCAGCATTATCAAAAATTAGAATACTCATGCAAAAAAAAAAAATCCATGTCAGATTCATGGAGATGAAGTGACCACAATTCTCTCTCAAAAATTCCCAGGAGGTATATTTAGATACATTGGATTACGGGGCTTTGCTTCATAGAACTGTTGATCTGAATGCTTCCAAATTCCAAATCAATAAAGCTATCCTCTTGTTTTCTCCTTTTCTTCTTCTTTTTAAATGGACAGAAGACATAGTACAACAACTTCAGCAACTTGTGCTGCTCTAGTGGCTCAGCGTGGCAATGAAATCTATGGCACAAGGTGATCATTTTATTCTTTAAAAATGAAATCCTAAAAAAAATCATTGGGAGGATGAAAAAAATATACTTAAAACAGAACAAAAATTGATATTTCATGCTCAATCTGATGTGCTTTGGGAGGCACAAAGGCAACACAACTAACACAATGAAATGATCATTAAATAACTAGGGAATAATCAGGTATAGAGATCTTTTTAAAAAAACAAATCAAGGTTTGGTTGGTTCTCTCCCCACTCCTATGACGGTTTTGAAGCCTTACTCACTCTCATTTTTCTATAGGCTATGTTTCAAATAAATAAATGGCATAAGTTTTAAAAGGTCATTGAGTTCAATGAATCACATTTCATTTCAAGACAAACTGCACTAAAGTTTACAGCACTAAGGTAATAGTCTTCAAAATTGTGTGTAAGAAATTAAGTATGGCTTTAGTTGGGTATGTTTGGTCATGGCCAAGGTGATAGGAGGGTTTGCTAAAGTGGGCTGCTAGAAGATTTCATGCTATTTTGAATATGGAGAGAGTTGAAGAGCTTTCTGTAATAATGTGAGGACAATATCTCTCTTTAAGCCTCCTGTACTTTTCCATAAACTTTTAGCAGAAGCAAGCTTTAAACCACTTCTTTCAAAGTAAGAAGATAAAAGGACATAATCATAATGATCATCCCCATTTTTTAAAAAGTTGGACTGTCTATTGGATGAGTTGAAATAGCAACTACCAGGAGAGTGGATATGCTTTCCCATAATCTTTTCTCTTTGTAAACTACTTCTGGTAATTTAGTTCAATTTGATTTGAACTATGAAGTTCCTTGTATACATCAGGGACAAGGAACAGTTGTTTAATGTTAGTTAACTAACATTTAGGATCTTAAACTATGATCCAATATTGATTTCAGATCCTACTGATCTTAAACTAGTTCCTTAGGTCAGATATATCGGGGAGCACACCATAATAAAAATATCAAAAGTAACATTCAAGAAGAAAAGCAAATATGGGAACCTATCCCTGGATTAATAAACTATGTTTTATTTTATTTTTTATCTAGAATAAAGTATTACATATGAAAAAACCCACTGGACTTTTTCTTTCATATAGTGTGTGCTTTAGTGTATCTTGCTGGCTTCAGCAAAGCTTTTGCTGCTATTCTGCATATTGAGAAACCCTGTGTGTTTCTGTCACTAGACAAAGGCCTGTGCCCTCATTTTTTTTAAAAAAAAAATCAGCTGGTTTTAAGGCTTTTTTTTTACTGTCAACTCTTTTCATCATTTTTGATTCTCAAGCAATATTTATAAATGAGGCATCATTGCAATGACTAGGTCAGCTTTTTTAGTATCTTAATGTATATGGGGTAAACTTTCACACTCCAAAGTGTTTGTTTTTTCTTTAAAAAGCAATTTTAAGAAAGGGATGAAAAAAGGAGAATCCTAAAGAAAATTATCTGCTGAACTTAAAACTGCCACCATGGTCAATTAGGATTGAATATGATTCAATTTCCTGGGGGGGGAGACAAGAGGTGATATGATAAATACTAGTCCAGATAACAATAAATTCTTACTGCATCTGTACAAAAGACACAGAAAATGACAAACACATAGTGCCACGGCATACAGGTAATTCTGCTAGACATTACCACTTTCCCAAAATGTGAAAAAAAAAAGATACCTCTGAAGAAAGCATAAAAAAAATTCAGGGGAACATTTTCTTCTTTTTCGAATTAGACAGATTGTTGCAATTCATTTCAGCTAGATTCAGACCACTCTTATTTCTGCTTTTCATTGAAAAAAATCAACCTTGTTTTTGTCGTTTTGAGATGAAATTCTATTTTGGACTTCAATGAGCATTCTTGTCCAGTAAATACCAACAATCTTATCCAACAAAAAGTAAACATATTCTGTCCTTGCTGAAAATGGCAGCCTTAAAATAAGATCCTCCCATCACCAGCAAGAACTTGCTTATGTTCGGGTATTAGGATGTTTGGGGCTTGCCGGCCCTTGTGTCATCAACCTGTTGGTGGGGAACATAACACATCGTGCTCTCAGTATGCAATTAGATTAATATCATAGAAAATAGGGAAATATTAGCAATTTTCAGTGGCAGCTCTGCATTCAGCATGTTGAGTTTAGCTTTATTGAAAGATGCCAGAAGTAATGGCTCTTCGTTGCAAAAGATTATCTTGAAAATATCAGGACAACTCTGAAGAGCTCCATTTTTAATACATTATGCACTGCTCTCATGTTTTGTTTGGTGCTAACTTTTGCTGTAGAACAGAAAGTATCTTATTACTTCTATTCAGTGTAAATCTGAGGAATAAATAAAGTGACTAGCTTTTATTTTCCTAGCCACTGGGACAGAAGTACAAATTCTGCACAAAGTTTAGGTGCAATCCAGTTCTCATGAAGCGTGCTCAAAACTTAGAAAGTTAGTTAGCACAGTTAAACACTTAACTGTATGCACAGTTTTCTCCAGAGTTGTGCTTTCAGTATACATTGTGCCTAGTTTATTCCTTTAATCAATATTTTCTACAAAAATGTTTCTATTCCATTTCTAATACATAGAAAGTGGTCTTGCACTCTGAGATGATGTCATTTTTGCCATAGTAATTTGAGAATAAAGCAAACATATCTTACAATGCTTTTCAGATGAAAAAGTAGTTAAAACATGTTTTCAGGTAAAAATATGAAATATCAAATATATACATCACCTAAAGATTTCAGAGAAGGGGAAGAATACATTTGTATCAAATGCTATTTAGAAGATGGCCCAGGCCCAGCTGTTCAATGTGATGAAGTAAAAGGGCACAATTCAGTGAAAATAAAACATTCATAATTCATCATAGTCATCCTATAAACATCTGGTTAGAAATCACTTCTGGACTTAGTCCCCAAATGCATGTGCATGGGATTGCCCCTTTTGGATTCCATGGGTTTCAATAGGAAATATTTTCCTATAATCAACACAATAATTTAAAATGCTCCACTATGACCAAATACCATACAGCAACTCTTTTTTTACTTTATGGAAAGTGACATGCAATTGTTTTGAGGAGCTGACCATATCACGGAATTGTATTAGCCAAACTACAAATTATCTTGCCTTCATTTGCTTTGCACAGTATTGCCTTGCTTGAAAGAAGAAAGGGAAACATAGCTAGATAAATACAGCTGAGGCAAACATCAAAAAATGAGGGCATTCCAGCTCTGGAATTTTGGGTTCATCCAGTTCCATCTCCAGTCTATTTTATTTTGGATCCAGCACCTTTAACATGTGGTGAGCCCAACATGGAACAGAACAGAACAGAGCATACTTTCAACTCTGTGGTGACTTCTGAGAGAACTTGCCACTACTGTTGTTTCCCAAACTTCCTAGAAATAGAAATAGTAAATAGATAACTCTCCCAAAAACCTGACAGTAGGGCTCAAGAAGCTTGAACACATGTTTATAGTAGAATAAAAGATGCCAAAATGAGGGCATATATTGTTCTCATAAAAGGAAAGTCATAAAGCTTAGAAGAGATGTCTTTTGCTCTCAGTTGAGCAAGGAAAAGAGGATTTATATATCTTCTATGGAGTTACACAAAAAGTGCGCTTCCTTCATTAGCAGTTGAACTAAAAATTTAGAAACCTTAGCTGTGAAAATCCCCCATAGGATTAAGAGCTTTTAATACAAATGAAGGGCTATCACCTTCTGTAGGATTTTACCATGACATCTGGAGAAAAAAACCAACCAGGTAATGAGCAATATATAATAAGATAGATGATAGATAGATAGATAGATAGATAGATAGATAGATAGATAGATAGATAGATAGATAGATAGATAGATAGGCTTGTACACACTTCAAAACATTCTTCTTCTCAAGGGATAAGAAAAGGGACCAGGAGAGAAAGAAAATGCCCCAATACTGTTTTTTCCCAAAATGTTAAAAGTCACGGGCAAAAATAAAACAAAAGCTGGAGTTAAAATAATTATACACTTATTACTGACCTAAACCTATAAGAAATCACAAGGGTTTCTGATCTGATTTCATATATGAAATTAATATAGAAACACATACGCACACATTCACACATAGCCTGGGCATAAAAAAGGGAGAGTCTGCTACTTTTTTTTAATACATTCATAAATAGCGGTGGAAAATCTCTACTCATGAAGAAGCTCTTGGAGGCAGTTTGGGGATTTGAAAATCTCAGGAACTTCACTGTCCAGTTTACAGATGACCTTGTATATGGCCTTCTTCCAGGAAGGATCAACATCTTTGCCTGCGATAATGGCATTGAAAAACTCTCGTAATGTGATCTGAGCCACTTCCAGGAATCTCTCTGGAACCTGCTGATACAAGGAGACAATGGCATTAATAAAAGTTTTCAGTTTCAAGTCTCTGGATCTTCAAAGGAAACTGAGCTAAGTCCTTGCTTTCAAAAGGGAGCTTACATAGCACCTGCATTTTCTAAATGTAGCAGGACTCTATTCTCTTAGGCAAGGCTGTTATATATAGTACAATAACTTTTAAAACATGTGTTAGCTAGCTTTGTAAAGATGAACTACAGAATGTTAGTATTAGAATATGAACATCTGGGTTTAGAGGGTGCTGTTTTTATAAGATATAATTAACAAAGGAGGGAATGAGGGGGAAAGGCGATTGCCTTGAGGTCTGCAGGATATAATGCTCATATATAAATTCATTATTTTCTCTAAGAGCATGAAGCATGTGCTGAAAGCACCTTCTGCTCTTTGTTTCTGTGTGTTCCTTTGGTACAGCTAATGCTAAGAATCAGCAAAAGAACAGGGCAACTATGCATTCTTTCTGAGAGAATCCAATAAAGCCTTTACCCTCAACAGCTTGATTAAGAAGCTACCAAATTTATGGTGATTCCATAAATAGTCCTCTTTCAGACATAATGATTTATTAAAAATTTATTATGCAGCATAGAACTCTGTACATGTGATGACCATAAGCCAGGAATAGACAAGATACAGCCATTTAAAATGTCTTCATTCACAACTCTCAGCAGCCCCAACTGGCATGGACAACGTGACTGATATCAGAACTGTACTATAGTAATACCCAGAGACTCCCAGATTCCTCATTACAGCTGTATATCCATTAAAATATACATATTCAAAATATCAAATATATATGTGTGTGAGTTTGTGTGTGTATTTGATATTTTGAAAATAAGTGATTAAGAATGTTTTGTTTTCATAACATTTCATCACTATCCTTTGGAGAAAAGGAACTTGTTCCAAGAAGACAAGCAACCTTGAGTCATTCATTATCTTATTGCTACCTTTCCATTTTAAAAAGCATGTAGTGAGTGTAGATTGATGGCTGCATCAGTAATTCACAAGTCTGTGAGTAATCACTGGCAGTGTAACTCCGAAAGCAAATGTCTTTCATCTGCTTAGGCTGAGTAGCTTCTAAACCCATTTCTCAACATCTTTTTACAAGAATTCCTCATATTAAGATGCAGCTGAGTGTTAATGTTGGATAGAAGGAAAAGTAATTGATTCTTTAACCGAACTCATATTTTGCACGAAAAGGGGAACGAATTTAACTTCTGGCATTTTCATGAAGATTCCGAGATTCTGGAAAGTTGTTGCCAGAAAAAAGGACAATATTAATGAGACAGCTTGACAGCTTGACCCACATAAAACATTTTGATATGTTTGCTCAAAGTGTGGACTTGAATTCAACACAAGTGCTACCTGAGGCAGCTCATCAGCTAATACCAAAACAAAAACAAATCAGTAATCTTCACAGATTCTTTGTAAAGAAGAAGGCAATTGCCTCAAACAGTAGTAGCCATAAAACATATTTGAGTATATGAAATTACAAATTGACATACTTTTTTTATTAAAAAAGGAAAAAGAACAATCAATTAAAATATAATCTCCAGAAACAATTCTGCATGTAGGATTTCTTCATATACTCCTGTTTATGGGATAATTTTTTAAAGGTCAAAAACACACCTGGAAGGAAAAAAAACACCTTGAAATAATACAAAGGAAAGAAAATGTGTGGTAGGACTGAATTAAAAGTCTACTCCTTTGTTATATCATTTAAAAAAAAATATAATACTAGAAGTTTTCTTTTATTTATATGCATCAATAGATTTCCAGAAAGATCCATGAAAAATTTGATCTTTTTCTCCCCCACATTGTCTGCAATTCCACATTTGGCTAATGAATCCTTATGCCCTATTGTTGCCAAGATGTTGGCCCAAATATATTGGATCCTACATGGAAAGCTTGAAATGCACTGAAAGCTTTGTTACCACTGTAGCAGATCAAATACAAGCAATTCACAAATAAAATTTTTGCCATGAGGCAGACATGTGATCAGCAGCTACTGAAGTCCATAGAGGTTGCTTGAATACACTCAAAGGTGGAATTTGTACCCAAACACCAGGCACATTTTGCAAAAAACCTTTTTTGATTTACAATGCAAAAGAAACAGTAAAAACAGTTAGAAAAGGGATGTAGTCAAGACATACTTTGTTGTCACTGGAAAAAAAAACCCTTTTAAGCAGTCCACCCATTTGTTTCATTTTAATTATATAAATACAAAATCTAATGATATATGATGCTTCTAATTGCTAGAATTATAGAAATTCTTTCCTAAACATTGACAGCACATGTTACCATTAAATGTTGCATACAGTAGAGGTGCAGCTGAAAACTTGGGGAAGGTGAGAGGCATTTGCTAAATTTTGTTTTTATATATCTCGTCTTTCATAACTGTGACACAGGTAAGGAGGAAGGCAGACAAATATCAAGAGTTGTTTTATGGGTGCTATTAAAAAGGCAAGATAATTTCCTATAAAATATGAAGCTGCTTTTTGATCTTATTTATCTAGACTAGGACCATCTACTTTCTGGAGATATCAAGATTGTGGTTTAAGTGGTAACAATTTTATTTCTTGATTTACTTCAAATACCACTTTGGCAGAAGAAAGCAATTATTCAGAAGCATAAATAGGACTCTTGGAAAATATGGTAAAAATGGAATTATAAAGGAAGAAAACATGAGTGAATTCTCTATATCTCTAGCTGTGGGCCTTTAAATGAATTGCTGGAAAACCAGAGTCAAGCAGGTGTGAGGGAAACAAATTTGCCCAAAAAAATTGTGCTATTTTTTGTACCAAGGAATAGAAAAGAGGTCAGCTTTCCAGTCTGATATTTCTCCAAACATTTTGGAGTACAGTTCTGAGCATTCCAGCTAACAGGGAAATAGAGATTATTCCAAACAGTTGTCTACGGAAGGTAGGAATATAAAGGCAAATTCTTAATTATCCTAATCCCATGTACAGTATATAAAATGTAAACTTTGTGAAATTTCACAATATGTTATAGTTCCATTCTTCCACAACACCAGAGATTTACTGCCTTTTCTTACTCAACTTGACTTTAAATTAAAATCATTAATCTTATATTCATGACTGTAAACCACCTAAAATCGCCTTTGGCGAAATGGGCAGCATATAAGTTTAATAAATAAACAAATGCCAATATTACATCACTGACTATGTAATTGCTTAAGGATAATTCAATATTCTTCTAAATTTAAAATCAGAGTGTGATTAAACATTTTTAGACTTTGCTTATGAAATCAGAATTGAAGGAACATTCTGAACATGTAACTATCAACTAAAAGACACGATAGTAACCTGTGTAATCAGTTCCACAATTCAACAGTTTCTACAATCCTGTGAAAAACTGACTGGCCTAATGTTAACCAATGAGCCTACACACACATACACACATGCACACACACACACACACACACACACACACACACACACACACACAAAACAACAACAAACTGATAAAATATTTGATAATAAGGATGATACAGAAAGAAGACATTAAAACACTTAGAAATATAATGTATATTTAAACAAATATTCTTCTAAATGTAAAAATATTATATTTTTGGTGTTGTTTACAGGCACAGTGTCTACTAGAATAAGCACTAGAACAGAGAAAAAAATAATAGAATTCCTTAGGAATCTAAATCAAATTTAACTTTATACAATAGATTATCTATAATTAGAATAAACAGTAGCCAAATCTGGATATCACACTGATTTATTTAGTTTAGTTACATAAAGTCAGGAGGAGTTTAAGTGTCTCTTACAGGTAAGTAATAAGTAACCCTTGCTTAATGACAGTAATTGAGACTGGCAACTCCATCGCTTTAACAATGCAGTTATAAACTGAGGGATCACATGACCATGCCAACTTGCAACAGCAGTTGTAGCAGTCCTAGTTGTTGTTAAGTGAATTACTGCAGGTCGTTAAATAAAGACATCACATGGTCACTATTTGTGACCTCCTGGCCAGGTTCCCCATTAACTTTGCTTGTTGGAAACCAGCTGTGAAAGTTGCAAATGATGATTATATGTCTGCAGAAAACTGCAACCATCATAATTATGAGCTGGTTCCTAGTCATGATTATGTGACTGTGAGGATGCAGCAATGCCAGAACTATGAGGACTGGTCATAAGTCTCTTGAAATTTCATAACTCTGAATGGTCCCTGAATGAGTGGCCATTAAATGAGGACTACCTGTAATGCATGTCTTCAAAAAGTGTATGTGGTGCTTATAATGCTTGTGTTACAAACCTCTATAAACTGACAATACTCTCTCTAAGAGAAAGATCTTAGAAAGTTTCATAAAGGAATATTGCAAATCTGTGATAGTACCACAGCATGGCCATGTTATGTCATCTCCAAAAGAATGGCCCACAACTAGAAAATTCAAAATTGTTTCAAATGCAGTGGTTTTCAGTATTTCAGTTCTTCAAAGCACAAGCAATGGAACCACTTCTAAGAAGTGATGGTTGTGAAAGTATGTATCTTTGTACATGTGGATATGTTCTTGAGTCCTGGGATTAGAAGAAAAAGAGCGCAATATTTTATACTGATATAGTTAAAAAGAACTGATACAGTTAAAGAGAAAAAGATAATGCAATCTTGTATTCTGATAAGTAGGTTCAACCTTCAAAAGTAATACGCTGAAGAGATTTACTGAGAAACCTTTTCAGAATTCAGAAAATGCTTAACCTGACTCTGATGGTGTGTCCCATCCCTCTCAAACTGAACAAAAGAGAAACAACTCTCTATCTCTCACCACTTCTTGAACAACAGCACTCGGTGGCAGCACTAAACCTGGGCCTCCATTTCAGCCTTAGTGCCACCACTTATCACTCAAAAAACCACCTCATATTCCCCCAGGCACCTGAGCCTCGGGAAACAGTATGATCGCCCTGTGGCCCAGTTATCCTCAGGATCTGCTGCACTGCTTAACTTTAGGCAGTGTTCTC